GGCACTGGCCTTGAGCAAAAAAGCTCAGGGACAGCACCCAGGTCCTGAGTTCAAGCCCCAAAACTGGCACACACACAGCCTAAATTAAGTATCAGAAAATGGAAACATGTTTGGAGGAGAGGGTATGGGTGGAGGACACAAATGGAAGGAGGAAGAGTGAGCAAATGCAGTGAGTATATTCAATGTACATTATGTAAAAATCGAATTTGAGGGTGAGGGGGAAAACGGGGGCAAATGATGGAAGGGGTAACACTGGTCAAAATGTACTGTATTCACAACTGACTTGTGAAAATGTAACCTCTTTGTATAACTACTTAACAAAATTAAAACCAACTCAAAACAACAACAACAAAATCTACCTATTACAAACCCACCTCCAGGAAATAGAAGTATGTTTTCGGTTGTTTTTTTTGTGTTTGTTTTTTGTTTTCTTCTGTCTTTTGATGGGGGGCAAAAGGTGGAGCAGAAATGGAGGAAGGAAGGGTGAACAAATGAAGTCATGGTACTCAGTAGATACTATGTAAAGGATGAACTAAGCAACTTGTAGGGCGGCGGGGGGGGGGGGGGGGGGGGGGGGGGGGGGGGGCTAAGAAAGGGATGACACTGTCCAAAAAGAAATGTACTGACTTACACAATGGTAACTCCTCTGTACAATACCTTAATAATAACATTAAATTTTTTTTTATATATGCTTATTGTGTTGCCGGGCGCCAATCCTATAATCCTAGCTACTCAGGAGGCTGAGATCTGAGGCTCATGGTTTGAAGCCATCCTGGGCCAGAAAAGCACCACCAAAATCTGGAAATGGATCTTAGTAGCGTGCTAGCCTTAAGCATGAGAGGTGAGGGACAGCACCCAGGCCCTGAGTTTAAGCTTCATGGTTGGCACAAACAAAACTATGCAAAACACCAACATAGAAGACTGGAGAGAGAAGAGAGATCTATTAATTCAAAAACCAAAAGTGTTTTCAGTAAGGCCTCCTGATGACTAGAAAGACAATTCTGCTAATCAACTACCACTCTCAACCCTTCTCCCATCAATTCTTTTTTCAAAACCTGTTAGCACACATGTGACCCAGTAAGACACTTCAGATTTGATGCTTCTCTGTGGCCTAAGGTAGTAGTAGTCAGTGCCAAACCATTACCAATTTGGGAAGAGGAGAGCAATTGTGGTCATGGTCAGCAACAAGGTAAGGGCAAGAGGTGCAATGATATTTCCCTCCATTCCATTTGCTGACAAAATATAAAACTGCAATGACCAGTATTTGATAGTTAAAAATAGGCCCTTATCTTCAAACAACCACTGGCCTGTATAATAGCCCAAAGTCCTTTCCTAGGTACACCAAGTCCTTCCTGATGTAGCCCACTTGTATCCTTGAGTTTTTTAGTTACCCTTGGATGGGTTAAGCATGGGTTTACTCTCCTTCCCCAACTTACATTTTAGCATTGCTAGTCAATTTATGTGGGTAGTTGACTAGAGACACATTATGTTCTAGTCTGGCATGATGTCATTGGTTATGGTTCGACTTCCTCCACCCAGGGAAGGGAGCAGCTTTTATTGCTCTCTGCTGTGTTCTCAGCTCAGTACAGGTAGCTTTAACACAATACTCATTACTTTATTTCTGTGTTTGTATCATCTATGAGTCCAAGATGCCCAGAAGCAGCTAGTCATACATCATTTAAAAAATTATTTTTTTGTGACAGGCTTGAATTCAGAACTTCCAGTCTCTAGGCCTTTTTGTTGTTGTTGTTCCTGACTGGCAAGCCACACCTCCAGTTGGCTATTACTCATTTTTTTATCTTTTTTTTTTTTCTTCCCAGAGCTGAGGATCGACCGAACTCAGGGCCTTGAGCTCGCCAGGCAGGCGCTCTTCTACTGAGCTACACCCTCAGCCCCTCATTTTTTTTTTATCTTTATCATCTAGCAGACAGAATGTTATGCAGTAATGCAGGAATACTTTTTTTAAGAATTGTAAATAAACTGTAATGATTTCTAAGTCTTGGATATGGGACTATCTAGAAAGACATTTTGAGGTTGACTCCTTTTCCTCGTCACCTCAAGTCTTCTCTTTTCACACAAATGGGCTGCTTACTGATCCTTCCTCCCTCCCTTCCTTCTTTCTTTTTGCCAGTCCTGGGGCTTGAACTCAAGGCCTGGGCACTGTCCCTGAGCTTCTTTTGCTCAAGGCCAGTACTCTACCACTTGAGCCACAGTGCCACTTCATGCTTTTTCTGTCTGTATGGTACTGAGAAATTGAACCCAGAGTTTCACTCATGCTAGCCAAGCACTCTACCACTAAGCTCACCTCTTTCTTTATTATTTATCTCTATCCCTTAAAGTTACAAGAAAGTCTACAAGTAAGAAAGCCTGCCCAGCACAGAACAGATGGAGCTCTAGAAACCTGGGTGCGAATAACTGGAAGTACTTTCCAAGTGGCTGTCTAAGGCCATTTCACCCATAATAGAACTCTGTGGAACTGCCCTATGGACTTCTTGCCTCATGATGTCAAGGGTCATTCCATTCAAATGATTTAAAACAACCTACTGGCCGGTGCTGGTGGCTCACACCTGTAATCCTAGCTACTCAGGAGGCTGAGATCCGAGGATCGCAGTTCAAAGCTAGCCTCGACAGAAAAGTCCAATACACCACTAGAAAACTGGAAATGGTGCTGTGGCTCAAGCAGTACAGCACTTGCCTTGAGCTGAAGAGCTGAGGGACAGTGCCCAGGCCCAGAGTTCAAGCCCCACGACCAACCAAAAACAACAACAACAATAACAACAACAAAAACCTACTCAACAAGACCTAAAGGCTGGTTTTGACACTATGGTTTATTTTTTTTTCTTTTCCCAAACCAACAAGAACCAGAAATAAATAGCAAGCTTATTTTAAAGAAACACAGCTTCTGGAAAAGTAGGGAAAAGGGCTGGTCACTTCCCATCTGGCACTCTACTCCTGCTATGTGAAGGGAATGTCATTTTGCCTTCTATCAAAGAACAATACTGGAGGACACAGTAGTACTCTGAATTCCCACAGATAATCTGGAAGGAAGTAAATGGAGTTATGTGAGAAAGTAATCTAATTCTCCAGGAGCAAATCCAACATATCAAAGGGTATTAAAAACCTAAAATTACAGAAGAGGCCCAATGTCAGCCTTTACTGATGAAGAAACCAAGTGTATCAAGTATATACTCAGTGCTAAGCTGAAAACAAAGGAATAAAAGGCTAATTGGCTGATGGCTCAAGGGCACCCCGGCTTCCTTCCAGTGTCTTTTTTGTTGTTGTTGATTGTACAGCTTGAACTCAGGGCCTGGACACTGTCCCTGAGCTTTTCAGCTCAAGGATAGCACTCTACCACTTTGAGCCACAGCTTCATTTCCAGTTTTGTAGTGGTTAGAGACTTTCTGGACTTTCCTGTGTAGGCTGGCTTTGAAATAGTTCAAAGCCAGATCTCAGCCTCCTGAGTAGCTAGGAATACAGGCATGAGCCACCTTTCCAATGTCTACTAATCTTAGAACTAAAGAATGAAATCTTCCATGCTAAGACAATAGCTTGTTGACAAATGAGAAACTCTTCTTTGATCTCACAATTTCAAATTATGAGGAAACAAAATCAAAGTTATTAGCTTGTCAAAAGTCCAGTGGCAGGCAAAATATAGACTAAATTAATTAATCTCTGGACTAAATCAATCTCTACCTCTTAATTCCCACAGGACATGTATAAAACATTCACTACTCTCCCAGCTGTGTGTGAAAATTCCCCCACTTTGTTACTCTACCACACTTTTGCCCCAGCCAACGGTATTATTAAATTTTAGATGCAACCAAAATGGAGCAGTTCTGTTGAGAAAAACAGGAAAAGGAAAATTTGGTTACTGATCACTCTGAATGGGCATGCATCAATTACTCAAAGTGATACTTGTGTCAAGCTTGCTGATTAGCCCAAACAAGATTCACACACATACACTTTTTTAAGTGTGTGGTAGTACTGGAGCTTGAACTCTTCAGTTTTGAGCTCTATCTAGTCTTTTGTGTCTCACAGCTGGTACTCTATCACTGAAACCACACCTCCAGCTTCCAAATAATGTTTTCATCATCATATTGCTTGGAGTAAGGTATTCCCAGCTACTGTGGAGGCTGAGATCAGAGGATGGCCTTTCAAAAGCTAGCCCCACCAAAAAAGTCTATATCACTCTTTTTAATTAACCAGCAAAAAAATAAAAAGTGGACTTATGGCTAAAGTGGTAAAGTGCTAGCCTTGGACAAAAAGTAGAGAGAATGTCCTAACCCTGAGTTCAAGTTCCAGTACAGGCAACACACACACACACACACACACACACAGAGTAGTTGGAGCAAATTACACACACACACACAAAGTAGTTGGAGCAAATTTGAGCCTGTTTGCTTTTCTAATCTGATGTAGGGTGAAAAATCTCTCTCACTTCAAGTGCTCAACCAAAGAAATGGATTCTGCCCACCCTATCCCATTAAAATTCACAACTGCAGACCCACTGTATTTACCCCTGTATGTGTACTTATAACATTAATCAGACTGTGTACGTGTAAAAGTACATCTGCAGAAAGTACAAATGCATACGTAAGTCACACGTACACGAACACACTGGACGATCCAGAGGTTAAAGAACTTCCTTGACTGATCTAGAAAGTGCCAGGCAGGAAGACGCCCTCGTGCCCCACGAATGAATCAGGAAAAGTATGCATTCACACGGTTAGAACACAACGCTTAGGGGCGCAGCCCCCCGGTCCAGGCGGACACCCTTTCCCCCCAGCGGCGCGCCCGTGAGACAGGTGCTGTCAACCCCCGGAGACTCGCCGCGCTCCGCGGGGACCAACGTCCCAGCCCCGGAGACGGCCAGCGAGCGCAGGTGACCTCGGATGACCCCCCTCGGGGCGCAGGCCGGAGACTCTCGGAAGACACGCCCCCGGGCCCCCGGCCCCGCCCCCGCCCCGCCCCGCGCCCTCGCAGCCGCCCCCGGCCCTCACCTCTCCGGGAGCCAGCGCGGACAGCCGCCGGGCCCGCCGGGCACAGGCCCGGGTGAAGGGCGCCGGCCGCGCCCGGCAGAGCCGGCGGGCATCTCCACGCGCCGCCGCCGCGCCCGGCCGGGGCCACGGCGGCACCGGGCCGCGGGCGCGGCACGAGGAGGAGCAGCAGCAGCGGGGAGGCGCGTGACGCACCGCCGCGGGCCGCCCGGGCGCGGGGCCGCAGCGCCCCCAGCCCGCCGGGGAGTGGGGAGAGGCCGCGGCGGACCGCCGCTCCGCGGGCGCCCGGGCTTCCGCAGCAGCCGGCGGGCAGGAAGAACTGAAGCCGACGGCGGCCTAGCAGGAGCTTCGGCCTCTCGCCCGTGACCGAGCCGTAGTCCATTCCCGAGCCGGTCACAGGCCCGGGCGCGCGCTCACGGCGCCCGCGCGCGGCCCAGGCCGGGAATGGATGGCGGGAGCGCGCGTGGGCGGCAGCGTGGACCCGCCCCTTCCTGCTGGGCGCTCCTCCCCCCCACCCCCCGCAGGCCGGGCGGGCCGTGGCGCTCAGTCTCACGTTAGCCACGCCCCCAAGAGGCCCCACCCACGACTTGGCCACGCCCCCGATCGCGGAGTAGAGCAGTCGCTGTGCGCAACCCTTGGCACTGGGGAACTGGATTGAGCTCTGTCCTGCCACGTTTTCATATTCATTACGCTGCTGTCCTTAGAAATACTAACGATTCCGGTGCCCTTCTGAGTCCTGGTCAAAAGCCCCTGGTCACTAGACTGCCCAGGTTTTACTGATTAACTACACCAATCCCAAGGCCCGCAAAAATGTGGCTCTGTTACGCCTTGTTTTGGAAGCAGCGTTTTAATAGCTCAACTTTCAGAGCTTTTGTTACCAGATTAGACTACCCTAGACGTGAGGAGGCCAAATCGGAGAATTTAAAACCCTGGTCACGAATATAAAATGAGACCAACCGGTATGACAAAGATACTTTATGCCGGCGGCTCACACCTGTAATCCTAGCTAGCAGGAGGCTGAGATCTGAGGATCACCGTTCAAAGCCAGCCAGGGCAGGTCCGGGAGACTCTTATCTACCATTAACCACAAGAAAGCCGGAAGTGGCTCTGCGGCTCAAGTGGTAGAGTGCTCGCCTTGAATCAAAGAACTCAGGAAAAACGCCCAGGACCAGAGTTCAAGCCCCACCACCGACAAAAAAAGAGGTATTTTATACCTCTGTAGTCCTTGATCACTTTTATTGTCATTTCCAAGCCATTCATTCATCCATCATCTCTTACTAGCAACCTTAGCAGTGGAGTTTTGTACTTAAATGGCCGAGATGAAGAAAAATGAGGTAGAATCAAGCACCAGCTTTTCCAGACATGAACCTAACAGAAGAAAATAATAGCAAAAAGAATTGCTAAAAAATAGTAACTTTTTTCTTCTCTCTTTCTTTCTTTCTTTCGGTGATGGGGATGGAACCATGTGCTAAGTGCATGCTCTACTTGCTGAAGAAAAAGTTTTATGACTAAAATTGCAAAAAAAAAAAAGCCAGATATCAGATTTATAGTACTGCATTTTAGCCATATTGCCACACAAAGTTGAATAGATTTTTAAAAAACCTTAGAGTAGGTCTTAGTGCTATTGAACTCTTCAAGTATGTCTGTGTGGTCAAAACTGAGATTAGTTGGATGGATTTCTAAAACACTGTAAAAAAAAGAAAATTGAAGTAAGGAGACTGGCTCTGTTTCCCCTAGATAATTGGCCCTTGATTTCCCTGATTGTTTCCCCAGATGGTTATTTAACACATTTAGGTTTAAGTGACCTCCTTTGGTTTTCTTTGCTTATGTATAATACTTTTGTTAGGTTTAATTCCTCACACCTTATGTGGGTTTTGCCTATATAAGCTTTGTGCTAGCTGCTTTGGGGCTGCTGGTCTTTGAGACTCTCCAATAAAGACTCACAATTTGACCTCTTAAGTGGTGGCTTCTCTGTTTCTCACAACTGAGTTCCCTTCCAACAAAAATCTCATGTATCTTTATACACTGGACACAATTAAAATGAAAAAAAATTGGGGTATATTTGGTTAAAGTGCATAATTAAGATAATCTCATGTATTTCTTTTATTTCTTAAAATAGACATAGAAGAGGCTGGGGATGTGGCTTAGTGGTAGAGTGCTTACCTAGCATGTGTGAGGTCCTGGGTTTGATTCCTTAGTACCACATACACAGAAAAAACTAGAAATGGCGCTGTGGCTTAAGTGGTAGAGTGCTAGCCTCGAGCAAAAGAAGTTCAGGGACAGTCCTCAAGCCTTGAGTTCAAGCCCGAGGACTGGAAAAAAAAATACACCCAGTAGAAAATTTAATATTAATTCTTTGCCCATATTTCTTCGGGACATTGTGGGTATAGAATATTGAATTTTTAATAAACCAGTAAACTTCATGAGGATTGTCTCAAGGAATATCCCTGAAGATACTGTAACAGGTACTTAGAAGCTGCTTTTGCTGAAAAGTGTTGACTTTTTACTGGTGTTCATAGAATAACTTAAGAGCAGGAGAAAAGCTTAGATTCCCCATTTCCACTTTTTATCTGTCTTTGCTCTAAGCCATTCTCTCTGAAGTCACTTTGCAGTCACTTGGAATCCAGAAAGGACAGGACTGATGATACCCAACATGTTTATAAGGAGAGATGGAGGAAACTATCCCACAGGTAGAGATTGAACAAGTGTTTCTCCTGAGAGACCACCTGTCAAACACTAAGGATTTGTTACCCTGACAAAAATTGCTTTCCTCATGTAATGGCGCAGCAATGGCAGCTTCAATGGGCGGGAGGGGAGGGCGGGGAGGGGGGGCACGCTCTCTAATGATCAATTGGGTTATCCTTTCTCCAGGACTGGTGAAATGCACACTTCTCTCTTGTGCCTCTTGTTTTTTGTCTATTTAAATCTAAAGCTCCTGTCTGGATCCTGAAGATGAATTAAAGTGCCTTTTCCTGACTGTGCCATGCTAATAAAACTTTTTTTCTGCCCTTCACCATTACCCTCTCTTTATTTGTCTTCTAGGGATAGGTGGCTAGACCTGACATGTAGAAGGCAACACTAAGTCCTAAAGCTTGGGTTTCAATACCAATATCCATGAATGTTCAAACCTCATATATAAAATGGCATAATATTTTCATGTAACTTACATAATCCTCTCAAAAACTTTAAATCATTCACACAAGATTTATTTTACCTAGGATGCATAAGTACTATGTAAATGTTTATATTCTAATGTTTGGAGGTTAATGGCAAGAAAAAAAAGTCTGAACATATTCAATACAGGTATAATTTTCTTTCCCCAAAATATTTTCCATATGAGGTTGGTTGAATCTTTAAGCATGGAATCCTAGGCGACAGAGGCTGACTGTATTTGGGGAAAATACAGAACTAATCTACAAAGCATGTGGGTTAACTGCTGGAAATTGTCATCTCTTCCCTCTGGGATCTCTGCTCATTTTGCTGTTACTTCTTGAGTATATGAAAGCTTAAATAAAAGATTATTACACTTTGCCAGAGAACCACGCAGACATCCAGGTACAGAGAACAAAGAAAGGTTTATTGCTGGGAAAGGGGTCTGGCAAGACCCCTTCTCATAGGGGAGAAGTGAGAAGAAGCACCGGCTACTGTCTGAGGTGACCTATATAACCTAGGAGGTTTAGGAGGAGCTAGAAGAGGCTAGGAGGCTGAGACCCCGGTATGGACATGTAGGCCAGCGGCTTCATTATGGTGGACTAGGATTTATGGCTGCTCTCCAAATAGTAGATAAGGGGTCCTGCAACTTCCCAGACCTGATGGTCACTCCAAGGGGCTCTTATTGCCTTATATGGTGGTAGCTGCCCAAGGTAAGGGGACTGGAGGCTGCTTATTTACAGCCTTTACTACGTGGGCCTAGTATTGCCTAGGAAGGGAGCTGTGGAGAGGGAGCTAAGCTGTGGACAAGGGAAGGAGAGGATTAAGCTATAGGAAGGGAGTTCATTTCGCTAACAGTATGGACTTATGGAAGACACTTATCCTTTTTATTCTTAATCTAAAAATGTGCAAGCACAAGGCTATTTTGATTAACAGAAGTTTTTGAAGTTTTAGAGGATACCGACTAAGCAAAGGAATTCAGATGATCACTCCTGGTTCTCCCTGCAATCCAAACTTTCTCCAGTAGAGGGAGTGCCTCACTTTTATGAGGCTCTCCTGTGGTTTCTGTGAGTTTCCCAGCTTTCCCTTCTCATTCCGCTGACAGTGTCAGAATTTCTTGAGATTTCATTTTGCTTAAATATTTCCCTATTGCCCTTGCTTTGCTTTTCAAGGGTAAATAAGGTCATTTTGGTGACTTCCAGAAGGTAGATCTGCTCAAGTTTCTGGGAACATCTTTACATTTGCCTTTTGTTAATGTTGTTTGTGGACCGGTGGAATAAATCTTGTTATTAGCCAAGTTAACAGAGGGCTTTAGGTGTGAAATATCTGCCTGTCAAAAATGAAGATCATCCATGTTTTCACTGTATTTGATGTTGGTATAATTTGTGGAGGGGAAAGGGAAAAAACAAATTGTTTAAATAGGGATACAGGTGGACCCATTGCAACAATGGGATGTACAAGACCTTATGTCCAAAGACGAACTTTACAACTTTGGCGCAGAGGTGGGAAGGTGGCTGGGGAACAAGGGGGGGATGGGGGAATGGGAAGGGATGGGAAGGGGAAACAAAGGAGGAGGTTACAATGCTTGATAAGAAATGTACTCAATACCTTGCTCATGTAATTGTAACCCCTCTGTATGGTATTTTCACACACAAAATTTTTTTTTTTCAAAAAAAAAAAACGAAGAGGGCTGGGAAGGTGGCTCAGTGGTAGAGCGCTTGCCTTGCATGCCTGAGGCCCTGGGTTCGATTCCTCAGCACCACACAAGCAAAAAGAAAACAAAGCTGGAAGTGGCGCTGTGGCTCAAGTGGTAGAGCGCTAGCCTTGAGCTGAAGAGCTGAGGGACAGCGCCCAGGCCCAGAGTTCAGGCCCCACAACCAGACCCCCCCCCCAAAAAAAAAAAAAAAAGAAAAGAAAAAGAAAAATAAATGAAGATCATGTGGCTGGCTTCATCTGTGGAACAATAGTGGTTAAGCCTGGAAGTGGGCACCTGCTTGGCGAGCATGGCCCACCACCTTGTGTTCTCTCTCTCCCCCACACTGAATTGTTCCATTCCCAAGGAGAATTCTGTCAGAATAATACCATGTGCCTCCTAGATGGGACTTCATATGAGCTCATGAAATTGTGAAATGGTGCTCCTGTGTTTGGCCTCTAGTCTGTGTTCAATAAGTAGCACCGACTTTGCTTATTAATATTATAATCAATGTCAAATTCAAGGAGTCTTAGGTAACAAGAGATGTGTACCTTCATTAAGGTAATGTGTTTCTTAGACATTCTTTTGATTGCAAATAACAACAAACTTGAT